AACTGAGATAAATGATTAGAATAAATATGGTCAACATGGGGTGAGAGGAAATATAATGGAATGAAAATCAGAGATTGCGTTATATGTAGAATAATATGAATTAGGTCAGATATAGTAGATTTAGAGGTGGATACTGAATGACTCCTCTAAAACGTTATCAAGTATAATGTTAATAATAATATTAAGATAAGTTTGGGACATAAAATGAACACTAATCAAATTACTGAGTGAATTCCTCAGAAAGGTTATCAAGTGTAATAATAATGATGATAATGATAAAGATAATAATAATAATAACGACAATGGTAAGATGTGCGGATAGGTCTCGGACATAAAAGTGAATATTAATCAAATGACGTTACCATATTGTGAAATTGATTATTAACTAGTTAGTCCCGAAGTTGGCCGGGGTAAAAGGGGCGGCTGAACATATTTCTTTAGGATGCGAAACTCTGGCTTTTTGATCAGATTTGACCTGATATCACATACAATCCTGTAGTGTCAGTTATTATGCCAAGCCCATATACCTTATTCGAGCTTTCGGACATCCCATTCTATTCATTTTACTTGAGCCATACATTGACCCTGTTATTTATTCGCTTATCAATCTAGACTGTTTTTATATGAGCGTATATGTGTGTGCCCTTCTTATCCTATTAATCACATGTCTGTAGCTTTATTTTGTCTGACTATAAATATTGATAACGCTTGACAAAGATGGAGTTGGCTTCCCAGCCATTCCCCCTGTGCGTCATTTTGCTTGGCTCTGTTTCATTCACTTCATATACAAAATATATGTATTCACAAATCAATTCTCGTTATTCAACTTATTTAATTCCGTTATTGGATAACGCGATTTAAGCCGACGATGATATACAAGAATAGGCGATAGCAAACATTCATACAATCATTCGTACAATCTAAAATAGGAGTCAGATCAACGGGCCACTAAAATCCTTAATTCACATGTTATAATTCCAAGTGATGCACTGTGCTTTAAATCTGGCCAATTTTATGGACTATTAATTTGGATTTATAATTGTAGAACCTGATGAGAAATTATTGAAAGAATATTCTTCGTCCATACAATTGATATTCTATTGTCCTTTGCAATTAACTGAGACTTTCATAGCATCACCCCAAAATATAACTGCACAGATACTTATTCTGCCGACACATCTTACTGCAGCAGGAAGTTATTTTCTTAGTTATCTTAATCCTTTGTGTTATTCATTTGGCAAATATACATGACCGTTATTCTTGTTCTGTGTTCACAAGCATGCTTATTGTACTGTTTACTTATTTCGCGTTCCCTTTGTTTTTATTTCCTTATTTTCTTCTTTTCTTCCTTAAAATTAACTCAATATCCTTCACCAATACACAGAACCTGTATTCCTTTCGAACATGGCAAATATTATGCATACATTATTGAAAATTGAGTATTATTGCAGTTCTGAAGAAACTCGAAATGGATTCTTCGGAACAAGTATGCACCCTTAAGTTGTTTGCGAACAATAATAATGATATTAATGACTCCTTTATAACGACGTAACAAGCGTCTAAAATGATGCACAAAAGTAGTTGTACTTGAAATGTAATCTTTCCTACTGGTGCAAATACCTGAAAAAACTCAGTTGGTACGATAGGATGAAAATTTATTTCAGTCAAGAAACAATATCCCAAACACAAAAAAAGGTAGACGAATTTGGTCTGCTGAAAATATGAGCAATCAACTAAAAAACGATGACGAAATAAAAAAAACAATTAGTTATAAGTGAACGATGGCAAGCGCCCCTAAAAATCAAACAAGGAACGTGCTTCAAAATAAACATCGCAAATCACTCGAAATCAGCTCACAGATTATAAACTAAAGTATAGCTGTCTAATATGGTGAACGTCACAGAAAACTGTTACGTAAAACAATGTTTAGACGACTATTGAAAATTTCAGCAATATCCGGGAATTACTTAGGATTTAGAATTAGCAGGCGATATAATAATAGCTTCAATTAGTCCCAAGAATGGGAACTAATATATAAAGTACAAGCAAAAAGAGAAACAGTACAAACCAAAAAAATGCAGAGGACTAGTTACCAGAAAACCTAGACATGGATAGATTTTCTCCATATTCCCACACGAGCATACAAAAGTGGATCTTACAACTAAGAATGTTCAAGTTCTTTTGTGAGCAACTTACCCCCTGTTGATATGACTAGTGTAATATAATGACCTAATTGTGTAATATATTGCAGTAAATCCTGTATCACTCGTAGCATTTTGATTTTGACTTTACACTGGCCTAACTCGTGTCACATCATTATTTGAAAATAAATTGTTATTTTTCATTATTTTCTTTTTTATCCTGCTATACAATACAAACTAATTGTGAGGGTGGTAAAAGATCCAAGAGATGGAGGCGCACGAACTGGCGTTAAGACGTCGAACCATAAAATGTAGATTGTCCCCCAGGTGACAATTATCCGATAGTCGAGAATATCAAGGTAAAAATCCATGTAGATAGTCAGTATAGAGAATCTAGTAAGACATGTATATCTTTTTTAACACTCAGCATTATAACGGATCAACCGCGGTTGGACGACTATCTACAAGTGTCCATTTATGTGAGAAATACTAACAAACATTGAGACAGTTACCCTTCAGAAATATGAGAGTAGGTAAAGAGAATTATGCTTTACATAGTAATAAGTACCGATATTGCATATACATATACATACATATGTCGTATATATACATTCACCGACTCGTCCTGTCGTAAGAATCACCAGTTTGATTTTAAATACTTCTAAAGAACATATTTAGGCTGCAGATATAACAATATTGTTAAAATGAATAAAAGGGATAGGTCACGCAGGAATGACCACACCTGCAAGGCTGAGCCATGTAATCCCTTTTATTGTCACTGTGTTCATCACTGTTGACCTCCTCCCCATGTTAAATGCTGGATATATGTTTTCTCAGTTGTCTCATGTTCAGCTTTAAGGATTGTGTGGTTAGGACCAATGCCACCACATTCTGACTACCTTATCTGTAGTGCAGAATTTGCCCAAATAGTTTGCGCCAAGTCATACAGAGGTTTTGTGGTTAAAATAGTGTTGATATTGTGATACAATTATCATGCTGAACTGTTATCCTCAGTTCTCTGAGCAGTTGACTGAGGTGATAAATCTGTTCAACTCCCTGAACATTTACCACAGTCACACTTTCCAGCGTCTCCCCATTCTGTCCTATCTTCACCCGATTATTTGGTTATTTTGCTAAACTAGTGCAGTAAAAAGTTTCTCCAATCACAGCGATGGTTTGGAAAATTAAAGTGACATCTCGGTTAGATTACAGTCACACTGGCACACTTATCTACTAAAATCAATGGACTATCAACCACCACACAAATCTCTAATGAATGCACATACTCGGCTGTTAGCTCAAATCCATATAGCCTCTGCTGTGTAGGGGAAGGAGGTCAAACACTGTGACGAAAACGAGCAAGAGTTCGGTTAGCCACTTCAACAGACCTACTTCTACACATTGTATAACCGCTATTGACGACGTGTGATGGAAAAGAGCTGCGTAAGTTTCTGATGATACATTTTCCTAACATCAGTGAAGGTGTCCACTTATTTGTCTCAGTCGTCTGGTCGCGCACCTATTATCGCTTTTCCTACAGAAGCAGCTGAGTTAATATACCAGCAAGTTGTCCGCTTCAGCACCTCACAACTTAACATTGTTAACCTAGTAATCGAAATCAAGTCACTTAGTAACGATTCAAAATATCCTACCTCAACAGCACAGTTTTCAACAATCTCTAAAGGTTTGAAAAGCTCATTCAGAGAGTCTGGATACTAAACGTTTGCATAGAGGCACAATGTCGATCAAGCATTAAAAACATGTAGAGGTACGAAGAGTCAAAAAGTGTGGAAATTGGTTTCAGGAAATCTGTGAAAATTTGGGTCCCTGTTAGAACGAATGGAGGATAGTTTCCAAATAAAAAAACTCAGTAGATTTATGCCCTGTTGTTCAATGACAGTGAAAGAGAGTGAAGTGCCTTTATTTTTCACAGCTATCGTCTGTCCAACATTTTGATAGTGTTGGCTTGGTTTACTTCCAACAAAAGTTCAGGACATCAATACAATACTGAGGGAAGCAATAAAAGGCTATGCTCCCTCGTTTTTGAACAGAGATCAAAGTACGCTAACTCTTTATTTGTCCCTAAGGCTGACTATGACGTACAGACATTTTTATCTTGAGTTCACGATGTTGTGAGTTCTCTGTAGGAAGCTCAACTAAGGGGTTCTCAAGATTGGAGGACGAGAATTCGGACTCATGAGCTGTAAGCTTCAGTTGTTTCGCTTGAGATGCAAGCCGACAGTACGATTAAGAACGAATTACTTAACTTGGGCTACTTTAAACAGTTAACCCAACGTGAAGTTTACTTGAGTGAATTGTGGCAAAAATACAGAACTGATTACCGAATGCTGAATATTCAAGTACGGTCGCACTAGGGAAAAATAACTGGACTCTCTTATCAAACGAATTAACCACCAATTCTCTAATAAGCTGTCTCAAAAGGAGTCCAGTCAATTGTGCTTGTATAAATGAGATCGTCTAGTTCTCTTGAAGTAATAAGCGAACAAACAATACAAGCCACCATCGACGTTTGAAGGTTTTGTGCCCACGATTTTCAGCTGACTAGGATCAACCGAGAAGAGGAAGTGAGACTCACTAAACCCATGGAAATATACGAAACTACAAATGTCCATAGAGAGCAATAAGGTGTAAAGGGAAAGAAATCAACGGGTTCACACCAACACATTACCGAAATTCAGATATCAAGTTCATCAAAAGTTTCAAACTGTGTTCGGTTCATCGGCTTGAAATGGAACACAATTTTTCATTGAAATATCAATCTTAAACTTACCCTCGTAAAATAGGCTATAAACTGTCTAGATATTGAAGCGCATGTTTTACTACATAGAGGTGATTCTGAAAAAACCGTGTCTCTTTGAAATTTGTTTACTAAGTCGTGGTGATGATTGAATATGTCAACCGTCATGAAATCTTTAGTCCCTCAGTATCTTGGATCACTAAATCAGGTGTTCACTTGGAGTACACTCCTGAAGACACGCTTAAAAGTGGAATATTTGTGAGTGGGGAGAATGCTACAACATGCGAAACTGTACCAATGTTAAATTCGGAGGTATGCAGCAATAACAGTGAAGTTAAGGTTAGCAATTACCAATTTAAGAAACAAACGTTTTATTTCAGGTTTTCGGACCTCAGTCCAACTCGGAAGGTACTGTATTTTTTGTATTATACATTTTGTAGATGATCACCCTACACCAAATAATATATGCTTATCGGACAAAACAAGTGATGTAAGTTGAATATAATGTGATTATACCTATTATTTTTGAACAAAAGAATTCTGAAAGAGGTAAGGGGATTCCCAACAATACAAATTGTTCTGAGAGAACGTTTTCAGTGGTAAGTAACTACTACTTCATACTGTACTTATATCCCATTCTGAATGTTGTATAAAAGTACGTTGATGCGGTCTGAATCACATTATAGTTCAAAGGACAGGATTTATGTTCGTATTCCCTGTCTGTCTCAGTCTCAATGATAAACAAATGTAGTAAATAAAAGTCAAAAACGTTTATCAATTATCGTCATAGAATCTAATTAGTACTAAGTTTACGATCACACGTATTGTTTTCTGACCCTGTGATTCAAGTAAAAATGAGATAATTTTAATGTTGTTTGCCACTTTGTTGTATCAACAGGAACTAATGCCAATAAAGGCTCAATAAATATGTAGTTGGAAACAGGACTTCAACTAATGTTTCATTTTCTGAATTGTGCATTGTTGCGATCAGTTGAAATAATGCATACCTAGGATACCTGATTCTTACAACCTTGAAAGGAACTGGCCATATGAAATTGACTCATTTACATGACTACTATTCAAAATAATTTCAGCGTTACTAAATGAACCTCTAAGATGATAAAGAGGAAACTCAAATGTACGTTATATCATTCAGGTTAATTTCGAACGAGTTTAGCTATGTACGTGTCCCTCATAACTAATCCTATTTTTATTCCTGAATATTTAAATGATATTGAGTTAAACGGTCATATTTGTCTGATTCGGGGGTGGTCATTCGGATACGAGTAAGCACACAGTGTTGCTTTGGAATCCTAATTACTCAAGTACTCCTGATTTGGGTGGTTTCTTGCAGTGGCTTGGTGCACAAGCTTCATTTCTAACATTTCCGATAGTTTAGCTCCTAATAAATGTCAATGTATTTCATGTGTTGCTTCCACTTTAGCAGGGGTATAGATATTTAAGCTAACTGGGATTTAAAAATCATTCATATTTAGTTTTTTTCCAATGTCTAAATGGTATCATAAAGGCCCTAATGTGCCACGTTATAACTCATGTGAAGTTGAGGCTCTAAACCACTGAGGAGTCTCACTATATCGAGAAACACCAGCTCAATCCTTCATAGTTGTCAATGTTCTTCCAATTTGTCATTTCTTGGCGAAACCTATATTCCTATTATCACTAACTAATAATTGATTAAGAAACGCTTATAGAACAGATTGAATTAGAGTTTCATGAATTTTAAAGTTACTTATGAGTAAATATATTCAAATCTTTGGGTTTATAAATTCTATCTTCAAATGGAGAATTTAAAAAACAATCTCCGGAGCTGTTGCTAAAGTTATTAACTTCTGACTATTCACTAGGACTGTGATGGTGATCTTTACAACACTGATGTGAAGAAACCAACTAAAACCCCCATATCTTCGAAAAAGCCGATCAGTTTCCTGAAGCGTCATCAAGGTGTATCTGCTTGGTGTAGTAGACTACGAAAGCAGGGATTACCAGTTACCGATCCAGCCGCAGAGTTACTCAAGCGTCAGTGTACAAATTCATCGCAAATTCCAGTTGTTCGGAAAACTGCATTGAAAAAACGGCTCGACGTAAGTAGTTCTCTCACTATTTTACCCATTCTAATGATTTTGATGTTTTCGGATTTTGAATATAGATCTTCTATTGATGCGATCCTCTCAAATTGTTACCCCAAGCTTTTGGAAAAATTGTTTATGTCAGTAGATTTTAAGCAAAAGTTACAACATAAAGGTATATTAAGTTGTAACTAGCATTCATTCAACCCTGTGCTAGTAACTTCATATATTTTCGGAGTTCAAATACCTAGTTATTTCTAGTGTGAGTTCCAAATAATAACATTATGTAAGAAATTTTATAATGTGCTATATGAAATAGTATTACTCAATACTAAGCACATATTCACAACCTTTGGTTACTGATTTAATCAAAATAAATATACTGGAAACATTTCTTCTGAATATAAACGTTGTATATTTTAATTATGGTTAGAAAAATTAGCTAATTCTGTTAGTTGTTTAAGATATCTTTATTATTACTATAGTTGGTTTTGTAATATGTTTACACAAAAAGTATGATCTAACATTTTAACAGTTTTGAACTATATGTCACGAGATTTCCGTCTAACGTTGCCGTTTTTACATCTAATTTTTTTCCTACTACTGATACTGTTACTACTCCTACTACTATGATGTTAGTCTTAAAAGAATTTTATCTCTCTTTGTTAATGTGGTATGACAACTTGAACCGATGAACATATGTGTCAGGTTTTAAAGCTACATATTCCTGACTGTTAGACTTATGCGATAGATTATAATTTGACATGAGTTGTCAGATTACGTTTAAGTCTATCACTTGGGTTTTGGAAATCAAACAGCTATATTATACTTGGCTGTGAAAAAAACATTGTTTGTAGCATAATAAGTCATAGAAGATAACTGAATATACTTTAAAAGATGCAACCTAATGATTAGAAACCGAACTTTGACTTACATTTTTCACAACCAAACACACCATATGAAAATATTACGAAGGTATCCGCCAAATTAAGTCTTCAAAGAATCATTATTATTAGCTTTTAGGTTGAATGAGTGAGGATATTGAATAGAGAAAGCATCCAAATGTTGTGCGGTTCAAAGTAACATTTTTTTGATGAATAGAAATGTGAGATGAATCACGTGCTTTTTGTTAAAATCCTACTGTATACTCAACTAATCTAGGCCTGTTCTTCTTAGCATCAATAATTACTTAAGAAAATAATACACAATAGTCAGTCAGTCAGTCAGCTACAACGTAGGACCAGGCACATATGTACATCGGTCCAAGTTGCCATGCCTCATTAGCACAATAAGATGAACTCCGGATTCATAAAAGTGGTTGATTCGATGGTGGTAATATATAAAAGGAAGATTGTATATAGGGAAATAGTACAGGAAGAAAGAATTAGTTCGTAAAGAGAACGATATAAAGTCATTTTAATCTGATAGTTTAAGAGAAGACAGAGAATGTATACACCGACTCCATTGTGATCGATTGTGATCGATGTCACCTAGATTCTCCAACCATTGGTTACGATAGTTGCGTGGACCACAACCGAGTAGTCTGTATCTACCAACATGGTTCAGACTAGAAGTTAGTGAATTCAATGACTGATACCACGTTTTAGTTTGGTCGCCCTCAACTTTTTTCAACCATTCTCAACACTACTCAGCATTGCGCGTCGTGGTAATCAGTGTTCAGGCATACGCAACACGTGATCCAACTATCTCAGTTGATAAAGATTTACAACATCATCAACTGATTTACCATCATCATTCCCTAATACCCTACGTCTGACCTCACTATTGCTTACCCGGTGATCCCAACAGACACAAGCGATATTTCTAAGACATCCGTGATGAAATACAAGTAGCTTGTGGAAATCTGCTCTTAATGGCCACTTTTCGCGGCCGTAATATAGAACAGAGCAAAACGCTGCACAGCATACTCAACCCTTAATTATATCATACACAATAATATTGGACATATAGTATAAGTACTGACATCAACCATGTTATTGGATCTATTCGCATTAACAACATTCAATAAAACTCATCTTATAGTATTGTAGTGAACAAAAACACTAGTGGGGACAGTCGAATGTATTTGACACTAAATTACAGAACATCTCAATAAAATGTGAGAATCGTATAGTAAATCGTTAATTTGCAAAATATCAATCCATCATATCAAACTTGACTGTTCCTGTTGCAAACATCAGTCCATTGTCTCAGATTTCATTGTTCACGCGTTTTCATACCAATTGCATTCCGTTCCTATTCTTTCCTCATAGACCTCCTACTGAAATACATTATATGCCTGATCACCGTTATATACTGCTTAAATGGATATAAGTAATCCACATCACACTTGTCCCTCCTTTGAAGCTTTCGTTCTAGCGGTGGTTCTACTCGCCGTGCCACTTTCTTCTTCTCTGCAGTTTGTGCCACGCTTTCCGTCAAAATCTCGAGTCTGCGGCACGCTGACCTCCATAACTTCGTCGATCTGTCGGGTTACCAACATTCCATACCCACTCGGCACCTGGGACGTCTAACATCCGTGATCCACTGGTCTGTTAAGCCATCTACATCCGATGTCCAACTAGCAGCTGCACGTCGCAGCTATTTCAAAGAATTCATACCATTTTAACATTACAAGAATAATATACTATGAACTGTATTAAGTATTAATATGTTAAATAAGTTAAAAGTCAATTTAACTGTTTATTTGAATAATCTATCTACTTACTATTTAATTCATAGTTCATAATTTCTTATACAACATTAATATTAGTCTTATGTTTTGTTTCTTATCTATATCACTCATAAATAGTTATCTAAATCAAACTCACACCAAACTCCCATCAATAATGATACTTTAATTCCATCTACTATTCATAAAGATTCAAATCATTCACAATATAATGAACCATTCAGTAAAATGAATTCTATCAACTTAAATGATCCAACTCATATTCATACATTAAATATAAATAAGCAAAATCCAATTGAAAAATCTAAAAATATTCTTAATCATAATAAATCTAATGAAGATCTAATTGGATCTATGGAATCTATTCATACAAATATGAATGATGATGAAAATGATTTAAAAGAATTTGAATATCTTGAAGAATTTATTGAAACCTCATTATATAATCATAATGATATAAATAAAAAACAATTGAATAATAGAATTCAATCAAATCAATTATCAATGATTGGTTATCATTCTAATGAATCAATAAAAATCAAGTAATTTATAATAATTTATTATTATTATTATTATTATTATTATTATTATTACTACTATATAATATCGAGGAAAAACCCCTTTCTAATATGATACAACATATGCTCATTAGTAGCTGACTGAGTTCTAGTGAGAAGTAGTGACTAGTGGAGTTCAACTAGGTCTGTTGTGAGATAGTAACTGATTGATGACAATGATGGATGTATCGATCAATTTCGTGGATGAATTGAAGTTAGACATTAACACCGTTGGATACTGGCTGACTCAATGGTGTAGAGGTTAAGCGCTTTCGCGTGCGAGACTGAAAGGTCCTGGGTTGGGATCTCGCGGGGTGGGATTGTGGATGTGCACTGCTAAGGAGTTTCACAATAGAACGAAACGGCCATCCAGTGCTTCTAGGTTTTCCATGGCGGTTTAGTTTCAATTGACTCATGATCTCAACTATTGAAATTACTAAAATCTCCACAATACCCATTCTGATATTAAAATAGATTATTTATTTATTTAACATGCATCAAACTGGATTCCATTATTCATCTTTGATTAGAATGCTTGTGAATGAAGGTAATAATCGAGGCAATACGCTCACAGTATGATTGATCAATCGCAGCTCTAAACATCAGCGTTAAGAATCAAGTGAATTTATTTACTTATTGTTCATAAATTTCAGTACAATAGGGTATCGTAAATGGGTCATATAAATAAAACGATAAGATTGTGGAAAACAGAAAGAATATTTGTATAATTGTTAAGTAAATGTACGAGTATTGTATTTAATAATGAAAGATTTATTATAGACAAGAGGGTTCATCTTACTTTTATGAAGAATTTAGTGGAAATATATGGAAAGAACTCTATTACCTTCTATTTTCGAGCTTGTTCAGTTGAAGTCTTAAGCTGTCGAGTTGTGTATCCTTTAGAAAGACTACTAAAGAGTTGTAATGGCCTGATAGTTGGCAGTTTAATATATCTGTCTTTTATACCACTGTGTCATATCATGACCAAACCACCTCTTCGCATAATATATCCAATCCCAAGGTCGACAAGTATTGGGTGGGATGGAAGCTACTGTGATCATATTCGTATATTTTGTTCAGGCTACCGAGGTAGATCTTGAATATTCATGATATGAAATAAACTATTTTCAGTGTATCCGAACACATGTTACTGGACCTCGTTTGAGCCTTTGTTCGATCCCTGATTGGGTCATAGGTGTATCCTTTCGGAGAAGTATTACACTAGAAAGAAACAGGAGTCCAGTACTTCTTGGCTTTCAATGGTTGTCTAACCAAGATCATTCCGTGATGAAAATTATGAAATCCAACAATTTCCACAAACCACTTTATGAATGATTGCATTCGCCGAAAATTAAGAACTACTTTGTCCTCCTCTCCCTTCCCATTATTCCTTTGCTTTTATGTTTTAGGCAACCAAGTTCACATGTTCAAATCCATTCAAGACATTCGGTCAAAGATGATATTTTAATTGAAGATAAAGTTCATAGAGACGATGCAGTAAATTGTCTCACAGGTGAATCACATGATGCCAAAACGACAAGTGATTTTAATTTGCCTAATAATAATACTGATGATTGTAACGTCAATAGTATATTGGGTATTCCAGGTCCACTGGATAATCAATGTAAAGTAACGCGTTTTCATGTAGCGAAATTACCATGTAATCAATCTCAATCATCAGTAATAAATAATCAACAATTGGAATTGTCTAACGAACATCAATTGGCCTCGATAAAACAATTCAGTTCTTCAACTCCTGACGACTATGATTTCGATGATTCACATCCATGGAGTTTCAGTACTACAGATATAAACTATGCGAAATTGTTGTCTGGATATAATTTGTCTGAAGTATCACTTACTAATTGTGGTAAGTTCAATAATATTAAATTTATTTATTTATTTTAACATATAGATATTGGTACAAAGAGGCACCAAATACATATGCGCCACACAAATCTCATTTGATATGTGTGGGGGCTGTGATACTGCTCGTGTGCCCAAACCGGAGCAGGTGATTTTCTTAGGGGGCCACACCCGGAGCCTTCGATTTGAAGGTCTGATCCACAAGTCAGTTGAGCATCGTAAGGAGATTCATTCCCATGGTAACCGGTGACGAACGATTGGTTCATACGCCATTTGTTCCTTCAGGATACTGGAGACCATGTACACCATTTGTTTGGAATGAGGGTTTTCCAACTCCCCTAGGTGGACTCTCCATGTTCACCGACCTGGTTAAAGCGCCGGACATTCGCTTTTCGTCCTCTCGATTTCGTAAACAACACTGTGGCCACAAGAAGGCAATGAGTAGGACTTCCCTGGTAGAGGCTATATACGCATGGCCATCTGAGAGCATTTCTCGAGGGAGAGCGGACTCTCCCCACTCTTGGCCGTACCAGAGTATTAAATATCTCCTTGTAACTAAGCTGGTTTCTTTGCTATCATGGAACAATTTCAGATGTTTGACAAAATCCAATGTGGATAGTCCAGCCACTCGACACCACTAGTGTATTACAGTTATTTGGAGATTTTTGTCGTTTACATATGTATGAATAAGTGCCCCAGGGCGATGAAGTTGTTGAAACCAGCGGCTATCATGTTATCGGGCATTTGTTGGTTGTAATAATAGAATTGAAAATAAAGGAGATTAGAAACACGAGAAGCGTTAAGAAATACATCAATTAATTCGGAAAAATAAGTATACAGTTGGAATAAACAATAAAAGATAAGATAGGATAGGACAGATTAACAATAAGCTATATAACATAAAACTATCAGATGACATAGAAGATATAAAACTTAGTGTAGAAGCATCTTACGATGTATATTTATATATTCTTATGTATAGTAGTGAAAGTAACATATTTTGATAGTTGAATTCATGACCAGTAGAGTCCAATCCGTATCGAGTATCGAGGTATCTACCTCAGACAATGGATAAATGGTTGCACAAGATCATGGATCGATTGAAGTTAGACTTTAACACCGTCGGATACTGTCTCAGTGGTCTAGAGGTTAAGTGTTCCCGCGCGAAACAGGAGATTCTGAGTTCGAGTCATTCATCACTGTTGAGGAATCTCATACCAAGACGAAACGAACGTCCAGTGCTTCTAGCTTTACAGTGGTGGTCCAGCTTATATCAACTCATGAATTCAACTACTAAAAATACTACAACCTCCACAAACCCCATTCTAAAGGTAAAATATGATTAGCCACTGAATGTGAACAAATCGCTTCATATCTTTCTTTCTACGAACTAATTCTTTCTTCCTGTACTATGTCCTTATATACAATCTTTCTTTTATATATTACCACCATTGAATTAACTACTTCAATGAATCCGGAGTTCATGTTGTTGTGCTAATGAGGTATGGCAACTTGGACCGATGTACATATGTTCCTGGTCCTACTTTGTAGCTGACTGACTGACTGAGTGTGAACAAACAGGCATCTAACACACAAGGATTTGTTTAAACACCTGCACAATGAATTGTCGTTTATTAATCTACATCTCTATATATTAAACCTAACTTTAATCATAACTTTTCTTACATAAAGTATGTATGCTTATTTCACTCTTTAATGATGAGTATTATTGTTTATAGTTTGTAAACTACTAAAGTGAATCTATGCAGTAAATGAATTCCTAAACTGTTCTCCTACGATTGTTATACTTGCTTTGTACATATTTATGAAGGGAATGAACTGTATAAAGTTTTTTTTAGCTAATGGAAAGTGTTTTCAATATTATCAGTGACTGTAATACAATAGATACCAGATAAGACTTGGTAATTGAACGCTATATTCGGTTTCTAAACTATTCTCGTAACCCCCAAGCCAAAACTATACAGCGACCTGAACACGAGAGAAAAGTCGCAAAATAGGCGAGAAGTACTTTACTTCAAAGGTTCACTTCAATACAGAAAATATAGGGTTTTTACAGTATTTTAGATGTTCTTGGGTTTTCCTGAAAATTCTGGAATGCTACTAAACATAGTAGCAGTATAATAATCAGCCAATCAGAAACTCTACATGTGACTTTTCACTTTCTTGATGTTTCTGACTAAACTTCAAGTGAACGCTGATTGGATGGGATGCGTCTTAGTGTTTCCTGCACCTTTCTTTTCTTTTGTGAGAAGTTTTCTGGATCACCCCAACAATACGAATCATAGTTTGATGCATTTAGCTGTACCTCAATATACGCAAAGGGAAAAGCAAGATTCTCCGATACAAAACAGCATGCACTAATCCAATCACAATTGACGGAGAAGATTTGGAAGATGTAAAAGCCTTTACATATCTGGGCAGCATCATTGATGAACAGGGTGAATCTGATGCAGATGTGAAAGCGCGGATCGGCAAAGCAAGAACAGCATATTTACAACTGAGGAACATCTGGAACTCAAAGCAACTGTCAACCAACACCAAGGTCAGGATTTTCAATACAAATGTCAAGACAGTTCTGCTGTATGGGGCAAAAACCTGGAGAACTACGAAACCCATCATCCAGAAAATACAGGTGTTTATTAACAGTTGTCTATGTAAAATACTTCGGATCCGTTGGCCGGACACTATTAGCAACAACCTACTGTGAAAGAGAAGAAACCAGATCTCAGCGGAGGAAGAAATCAGGAAGAAGCGCTGGAAGTGGATAGAATGCACATTGAGGAAAGCACCCAACTGTGTTACAAGACAAGCCTTCACATGGAATCCTCAGGGTCAAAGGAAAAGAGGAAGGCCGAAGAACACATTACGCCGGGAAATGGAGATAGACATGAGAAAAATGAACAAGAATTGGATGGAATCAGAAAAGAAGGCCCAGGACAGAGTGGGTTGGAGAATGCTGGTCAGTGGCCTATGCTCCATTGAGAGTAACAGGCGTAAGTAAGTAACTGTTGATTACTGCCAGCCTAGAAAATTTTTTAAACATTTTACTTCATTTATTATTATTATTATTATTATTACCATATATCACAATGATAGACAATAGAAGAGTTAAATGATACATAATGTACGACAATTTAGGCTTGAATCAAAGTTGAATGATTTCATTGTTACATAATGTTTATTTCAATAGATGATTTTATAAATCAACCAAATGAATCAACACTTGATTGTTCCACAACATCAACATTTCATACAAATAAAGTTAACTCTTCATTACGTGATCAATCTATCAAAGTTATTCATCAAATTATTAGTTCTTCATTGGATAAAGTTGATCGTGATATGTGTATCAAAAAATCTTCTGAAACTGTTAAATACAATCAGAAATCTATTTCTTCTAATAGTAATGATGAGTCCATCAATTCCGTTAATGAATTCAGTAATGAACAGGTATGTCTGAATCTCTTTTCAGTAATAATAACAAATAGATCAGGACCAAGGAAGTAATCTCATAGTTTTGGCACAAATAATTAACTATCAATGGTTAATTTTAATAAGGAAAACACGGTGTTATCTTTACATTCTGTTGGATTAGTGATAAGAACATTCATTTGTGAATCCAGAATTGAAATGTTTGTTAGTTAATTCAAAAAACAACGAAATGAAGTGATATTTCACTGAAATCTTTATAACAATTTAAGGTTTGGGATTAGAGATTATAATATATATAATGCGAGACTGTAATTTATGAATGAGCCAATCAGAGGCGTTTTAGAGATTTCAAGGTCACGGCGCCAACTTCATTGCTTAGTGCTAACGTACGATCGGTTCACAGAGAGTTTTGTACAAAACATGATAATTGAGAGGCTATAACAAATAAAACGGCTAGACTATAATTTGTGAACGGATCAATCAAATATAAGATAATAGATCTGGGATTTTAGTGCGAAAGCCTTTCATCCATTTGGCTAAATAAATTTCTGGCATTATAGCTGATGTCAGTTCGTGATGAAAACCCCATATCTAATTCCTAACTAAGGCAAATTACGACAATTATTGCGAACTGGATAATAAAAGCACCAGTAACACTGGCTGCAGCCAAGTACTACAATATATACGAATGATTGAAGAGGGTAGACTTCTACATAGATTTGATTATGTGCATCGTATCGTACATTAAACCATATGACCTGGTGCACCCCTTTATCAACCATATAGCTTTTTAAATTCTAATTAAAAATCATAATTGATAGAATTCATTAGTGAAACATATAAATAATGATGTTGCATGATCATTGCGGTATATCGTGAATCAATTGAAGTTGAGTATCGAATATTGGATTTGTTTTGAATTAAAGAGAGTCTTAAAGATATTATGAGACTTGAAGCTTTTGAATTCGTTGAATCTTTTAGATATTCATTGTCAAAAGGTTCAGTATTCCTTGGTTCTTCTTTAACTAGTATCAGTTCTCGATGGAAATAATCCTCTACAAATACTTGTTACACTCTCCAGTTATCTAATTCATCCGAATTAATCCACAATTTTCTGGTAACATGAATCGCTATTTACTTATCTCTGTATGTATGTTTTGGATTAGTGATATTACAATATACTGAACAAAAAATGTTTGACATATATTTAATTGTACTTGATTCTTCAATCATGGGACTTAAATCATCTTGAAAGAACTACAGAAAATCATATAACACTGGACAACTGATTCGTGCTAGTATGGGGCTTCCTGGATGAATACAAATCCCAAATTTCACTGGGAATCATCACTTCAGGTCTTGTGATGAGTATGATATTTGTAGACCAACTGAAGTAGTATCTAATGGTTTTAAGTTTCAAATTTAGTCTGTTTTAAAATAGAGCACAACCATTATTCAATGTTATTTATAATATCGGGCTGTCATATGCGACATGATTGAATCTCATTAGGACTTCGGGAGTTTAAACGTATACAAACTAAAGTCACTAGTTCACATAATTCAACAAACTTTAATCTCTGAACTAGAATGAATTTCACGTTGACCATTAGGTAATAAAATTTCTTTAACACCATTATTGTTGTTAAATTGACGACAAATTTGTTCATTTGTCAAGGATTTCAATGAATTGACTGTTGTCGTTGGTAGTAAAACTTGATCTGGATTTATTTGTCGACAAGGATAGATAATTTCTTGACGTCCAAAGAAATTACATTACTTAATTGTCAACTAACACACTGGTTGCTTAGATGTTGAAAAATCCAAGTTCGAGCGCTAAATCAAAATAACTCTGGTTACACCAGTGATGAGGAATACTGGAGATGAAGGAAGATAGTGAATGAACGTGTCTGATCTATATCATCCATTTTAACCACTGGTTAAGATAATTGCATGGACTTCAACTTTTACCCACTTACACGACTGATTCCAACAGTCAGTGATGTCATGTTCCCACATCATGTCATGATTTGTTCGGTCTTACCTTTTATTCAACTTTTTCTTTCTATGGCCATCATTGCAAGTTGGGCTTCTAACTAAAACTTCAGGAATTATTCTTGACTATAAATACTAGTGAACATTATATTCAGTAGATGGATTTATACTGATCATATTTATTATTGTTGTATTTGAATAGAATCCCAGTAATCAGAATAGTACAACTAATAGTGATCAAAGTGTTTTAAAACAATGGATTAATAGATTGGAAGCAGAAGTTAAACGTTTCAAAGTAGAAAATGCTAATTTAAATAAATTGAAAATAGAAGCTCAAGATGTAAGTTTTAATATTTGCAGTTCATATCCTTTCTATTTCATTGTTTTTCTTACTTACTTACGTCTGTCACTCTCAATGGAGCATAGGCCGCCGACCAGCATTCTCCAACCCACACTCTGTCCATGGCCTTCCTTTCTAGTTCTATCCAATTGTTGCTCACTTTTCTCATGTCTGTCTCCATTTCTCGACGTAATGTGTTCTTTGGTCTTCCTCTTCTTCTTTATTTGGACTTGAGGATTCCGAGTGAGGGCTTGACTTGTGACACAGTTGGATGCTTTCCTCAATGTGTGTCCTATCCACTTCCAGCGCTTCTTCTTGTTTTTCTTATTCCTAACTAAATTTGTGATAAGATTGTTCTTATTACATATCACAGGTTATACATTTTCTTCAACTGATTAAACAATCATCATCAATCTATATTGATAGTGAATTATGTATTTATGATTGTAATGATTGAGGAGGATTTGGAGCTCAGGTGAATGGTTTTAGTAGTGTTGTATTTTTCTAGTTAGTTGACTTCATTATGGAGCTTATATTGTCATCCTGAACAATATCACTGGTGTTTATTTCGCATGGAAGTAGTAGAGCATGACACCACCGAAATTCTTTGTAACTTTGATGGATATAATCAACTATATCGTCGTCATCAAACTGACTGTTTAATGGTTCGTCAGACGAAATTTAATGAAGTGGGCGTCAAGCCTTCAAGTGAAAATCAATAACTGTCAACATTAAATGATATGTCCAAGTAATAGGTCTCGTGATTGTTAGACATGATCATAAGAAGATTTAGGTATAATATTCTCTGAAATGATCATAATCATAAGTTTCACTATTTAAACTGAGCATCGAGATGGAACACATAGTTATAGATAATGATATTTACATCATGGATTAAGAAATGGTTAAAATTTATCATCCAGATTGTTTCATAGTTTACGTCACAGATTAAGTTGACTGAAATAATCAATGAGATCTATAGAACATTATGGATTCGTAACTTCACCAGGAGTCGAGCCTAGTATATGATATCAACTTTCAAATGAATAACCTTCACAAATCTTTTATCTCACCAACCTAGATTGTAGCTGAGTGGATAACGCGATGGCGTTTGAAGCGAATGGTACTGGGTTCGAGTCCCAGAGTGAACATCAACTCCGAGGTGCAGGTACATCCAGCTGACGAGTCCCAAATAGGACGAAACGCGCGTTTTGAATTCCATTACTAGCCACTATCCATCATTGCTTACAAATAGCTTGTGAAATAAGGTAATATCGAGGCATACGCACAGTATGCACATATGCCAATAACAGACTGATCTATTGCAGACTTAAACCTCAATGGGAAGATACAAGCCAAATAATACCAAGTGAACTTAGATTGTATTTTCTTGTCAACATTAAAAAATAAGGTAGTTTATTTTGTATTTGTGTACTTTATTTTAAAGAGTTTACGTCAGCTTGAATTGGAAAAAAGTCGTTTTGATGAGAATAAAATTAAGGAGCGAAAAAAATTCGAAGAATACAAAGAGAATGAGATTAGAAAATTAAAGTTAGTTATTTACTATTACATTTGACTTATATACGTATCATATTTGATAGTCATTTGATCACGAAGCGATTCTTATGATCTGACACAATATTCACTCACCGATTCAAGTCTTTATGTTTTACACTACTTCAGGTGTTGTTCGTCATGGTCGCTTTCTCATCTCAGTTTTATCTAACTTCTTAGGAATAGATCTTCTACCTGGAAATTCTTTCGTTGACTTAGAATACTCAGATGATCATGTTTGATGAAGAAGCTGACAAAATGCAAGCACGTTTGGAATGTTATTCTTTTCCTCTAAGTATAATATGTTAATTCATTACCGGTCTGCAAGAGCGCGGGAACTAAGAGTATGCAGAGAGGTAGTCGCGTGTATCGAATAATTTACTTATTTTAGAAACCTCAGAAGGCCTGATGAATTGGTATGTGACGAAATCTTGATTAACTTTCGCCAACTTGCGTCGCTAGTGATGTATATAAGATGTCCGTTTGCCAACTAAAGGACGAGTATACTGTGCTATTGTGCAGCTGTTCACTCTGTTCTATGTTTTAGTTGTAAAAGATGGCCTTTAAAATTAGAGGACCTTCGTAGGTTACTGGTATTTAATTATAGGTGTTTACGAACCAATGATCGTATATTTTTAGACCATTGAGTTAAGAATTCTGAGGTCAGAACAGAGTACTAGCTAAGTATGGCAAATCAATTGATGAGGTGGTGAATCTTTACCAACTGAAGTGATTTGGACATGTATTACGTAGGTTAAGGGCAGTCAAACCAAGATATAACATCATTTCATGAAGACACTAACTATTGAACTGAGCCATAAAGTTGGGTCGAGACTACGTGTTTCGGGTCTGCATTATTATCGTGACCAATAGTTACAGACTTCGGGTAAAATGCATCGGAATCATTTTCAATAACGCGGATGCATTCACTGTTAGTCCTCTCTTAGATCTTAAATTCCCGAACCCATCTCAACTCTTTTATTTCACTAACTCATATTTTCTCCTCGGATTATACATTCGATGCCTAATCTTCTCTACCACCACTAATAATATTGTTACTGCCTGTAGAATTTCCTTTCGTAATTTCACCTCTTTGTGTTAACGAGCTGTGACAATCTGAATCTATGTACATATGTGCTTGGTTCTACGTTGGGTATGACTTACTGACTTCCATACCTTTCAATGCAACGACAGATCAAGTTATCACGATTCATAACAAAGAAGTTAAAGCCCTAAAATATCTAGGCAACGCACACAAAATACACATATACCAAAAACAGACTAATCAATTAAAGTTCTAAACATCAGTTAGAAGATCCAAACAACCAATATATATATATATATATATATATATATATATATTGTTATTATAAGCATTATTCAATATTATATTTTTGGTACAATATAGAATTCTCAGCACAAAGTATTTCAACAAGTTTCTGTTTCTTCTCGGTCGATCCTGACGATAAATATTGAGTGATCGCCAGTTAGGCGTTAGCAGTCCAGTAAATGAACATCTGAATAATGTATATTCTTTTCTCTGCATATTGCCAGCGACCACATTATCTCTTATTGGGCTTTTTGTAACTTGGACAACGAAAGGTTGTACACTTTTCAGAAATGCACCAGGATAGGTTATGCGATTAATAGACATAATGATATATCAAAACAAACAAAAAATAGATAACTTGTTGAAATATCTAGATGGCAGGAACAGGTAGCCCAGATGCTCAAGCAGGCCGCTGAAAACTTGTGAAGTATTAATAATGTTTATGGTTGTGAAAAAAGATTAAAGATGGAAGAATATTATTCGAAAGTAGAAGCGAATTCGCGGTGTTAGAAGTAGGGAGTAATATCGAAACTTCAGATCTAGGGTAGATTGAGAAATGAACATTTCTGAGGTACCGAAAGGAATTTTAAGTCATTCAATCTGAGATTTCCAATCAATGTTTATTATCCATATCTCAACCAAGAGGTTTACACTTCCATACATAATTTGGAATAATAGTTAATGATTTTATGGAGTTGTGTTACATATTGGTTCAGGTTCTCCTACTTTTAATTTACCTAGCCAGTATTACGTGTCGATGTAAACAGTAATTAGGCATGTAAGACACGTGTTTCAGCGACCTTAGTTGGTGATGACCCACAATTTCAGCAGCCGACTTGTAACCCCAGAACTGAACGTCTAACGTCAACACTAATGTGGACGGTTCTTGGAGGACATATGTATCTAAATACTATTAACTTATGGATGTTTTCTACTTCCAAATACCACATTTCATGACCATAAATTATAAGGAATCAGAGTCCTGAACAGTATGCTCAATGTTTCATAGACAGACGAAATTTATCGCTTACAATACAGACGGAGCAAGTTGAATAAAGGCAGGCTAACATTTTGAATCCTCATCGAGATTTCATCTCCTACTAAAATAAGTGAAGTTGTCTATTTCGTGCAATTACCCACTTCACAATTTCATCATCCAACTTCCATCAAATGAAAGTTATCACTTGTTGAGCTTTGTTTTATGAATATATGTGCTACTAATATTGTTTAATAAAGATTTAACTATAATACTCAGACACATTCAAGTTCTCATGTATTAATACTCTACTTATTTCTAGAAAGGAAAGACGTGTATTGGAAGAATATCAACGTGCTCTAAGAACTATGCCGAACAAGAAAGATCGTGAAGAAATTGAACGACTTAAACAAGAAGTATGTTTACTTAATTATTAATCAATATTCTCAGTTTTTACCTACATCTCAACTTCTCAGTAACAATCAACCATATTTATTTGTAAATGTCCCGGAAATTTAGGGCTATGAAAGAAATTCAAGGGAATGTGGAATATTTTTTTGATGCTAAAGTTTTACAACTTATTGTAAATAGGCAAAGATGGATGGTGGCTAGCAGTGGAATCCAGGACTCGCGTCTCGCCCTATTTATGACTCATCAGCTGGATATACCAGCATCCCACAGTTGATATTCACTCCGGGACTCGGACTCAGTACCGTTCGCTTCAAACCCTATCGCATCATCCATTTAGTTACTGAGTCTTGATGACCATTAGCTTGTACAATGGAACAAACTTTTAATTCATTTTGTATTGTTTGTTTGAATCTTCCCATTGATGTTTAGGATTGCCATTGATCAGTATCTCATTAGCATATGTACTATAAATAGCTATATGTATTATGAACAACATATTCTAAAGTCTATCACAATAGTTTTCATTTCAGTCGATCAAAATGGACTAATTGTTGACAGGTGATCAGTTTAATGTGTACTTGTATATCATCCGCCCGAAATAATATAGTACTGTGAATTTTTACCGAAATTCTTGGTATTTTCTTCTTCAATTCTTAACACAAATCAAGCTATAAACTTGAAAACAGTTAAGCTTTTACTCCCCGAAAATGTACTCTGACCTTAACGAATATTCAAACTATCATTTGTCTAAGTTATATATTCTCATTTCTAGGTAGACTATCCCTCAGTTCGTGACAAATAATACTCCCAGTGATCATACAGTTACCATTCTAATAATCATCGACAACGATAAGTAACTGATACATTCGTATGCTGCGCTAGTGTTTTGCAACTTCGACCTAATACAGTGAATCAGACTACTTCTTTGCTCCCTTGATTAAAAGAAGAAAATATCAATCTAATAATAGAAGCTTTGTTGATGATGGCCCCAATATATCAATTATTGAAAATAGATTTACCTTAACCAGTTATCTATCAATGGTAAAGAACTTTGTATTCGTTACTAAACACAAATCATAAGAAAAATGTATTGAAAGTCCATGATTAGAGTTTACATTGAATAATTTAATGCAACGAAAATTCATCTTAACCGATATTGATTTGTTTCCTTGGTAGCTGGTGACTGATATGTATGTTTCGTTATTTGCTCTGTAATTATCGATTTTCATGAACCCATTTAAGGATGATGTTTAAAGATTATCTCTATCTTCTGTTGATTATTTTCATTTAATACATTCTTTCCTGTTATTCTATTCAGCTTGAAGAATCTCGTGTTGATATGGGTAAACGTGAAGTTCGTTGGCATGCAGCACTTAGCCGATTACGTACTCGAATTGATGAATTTGAAACAGAACGTAATGAACTTAAAGGACGTATAAGTAGATTAGAAGAAGAACGTATATCATTACAAGCTAAATTGGCAAAAATACAAGTAACTTATAATAATAGTAATAATGAATCGAATTCAACAAAACAACGATCATCTTTAGCACTTCGTCAGGTTCGTTAGTATTTTTATTTTATTTTAATTCATTTTGTGAGAATTAAAAAGAAACTATTCTGTTATTGAGAGAAACCAAAGAACAGTCTAGGGAAAGAAACGTAGGACCAGGCACATATGTACATCGGTCCAAGTTGCCATACCTCATTAAAACAACAAGATGAACACCGGATTCATAGGAATGGTTAAGTCAATGATGGTAATATATAAAAGAAAGATTGCATATAAGGATATAGTACAGGAAGAAAGTATTACTTCGTAGAAAGGAAGATATAAAGTCATTTTAATCTGATAGTTTAAGAGGAGACAGAGAGTGTATACACCGACTCCATTGTGATCGATTGTGAGCGATGTCACCTAGAGTCTCCAACCACTGGTTACGATAGTCACGCGGACCCCAACCAAGTAGTCTGCATCTACCAACATGGCTCAGACTAGAAGTTAGTGACTTCAAGCACTGATGCCACGTTTTGGTTTGGTCGCCCCTAACTTTCTTCCAACCATCGCCAACACCTGTTAGGATTACGCGTCGTGGTATTTGATGTTCAGGCATACGCAACACGTGGTCCAACCATCTCAGTCGATGAAGATTTACAACGTCATCAACTGATTTACCATCATCATTCCCTAATACCCTTCGTCTAGCCTCACTATTACTTACCTGGTGATCCCAGCAGATGAAAGCACTATGGTATTTATAAATATTTCTAAAACACATATGTGATATTCATACTGTAAATCATGAATCGATCTTAGTTAGACTACCATTTCAAACCAGAAAGCACTAAATAGTTATTTCATCCTAGTACACGACTCCTTAGGAATGTATATTCATGACCCCGCCACAGGGAATCGAACCTAGGATCACAGGTATGTCGTGCAAATGCTTAACACCTAGACTACATATATACTATTTTGTTAAGAAAATAGAACTGAACCACGTTGTCAATGTAGAGTGTTCAGAAATTAGTGAAAAAGCACGTAGTATAATTGTTTGTTTGACAAATATGAAGAAGTTGATGGACCAGACATAGTGTTTTAGCCATAAGATTCCAGCTTAAATTTATTGAATTATTCTACTCTATACTGTGCATTCATACAGATCAATAGTGGGAAAGCAGCAAGACATGATAATATACCAGCTGAAGGACTAAAGTCAGATATAGAAGTAATTCTTAATCTGCTTCACATTCTATTCAGGAAGATTTGGGAGCGAGGACAAGTGCCGATGGACTGGAAAGAAGGACACCTCATCAAGATACCCAAGAAAGGAGATCTGAGCAAGTGTAAGAACTCAGCTATGGAGGCATCACAATTCTATCATTACCAGGAAACGTTTCTAACAGAGTGTTGCTGAATCAGATGAAACATTCAGTGGACGCTCAACTTCAAGATCAACAAGCCGGATTCTGTAAGGATCGCTCGTGCACAGACCGAATCGCGACACTAAAGATCATCGTTCAATAATCATTTGAATGGGACTGGTTACCATAGATCAAATTCTTTGACTATGAAAAGACATTTGACAGTGTGAATAGGAGGATCCTATGAAAAATTCTTCGGCACTATGGAGTAGCTCAAAAAGATTTCAACATCATCTGCGATTCATATGACGGACTACACTGCAAAGTGGTGCACGGAGCTCAGCTGACAAATGCGTTTCAAGTGAGGACCGGAGTCAGACAAGGATGCTTACTCTTCTCCTTCCTCTTTCTTCTAGTGGTTGACTGGATTACAAAGTCCTCCTTATCTGAGAGGAAACACGGCATACAGTGAATAGATTAGATACAACCAAACGATTTGGACTTCACAGATGACCTGGTTCTTCTATCCCATACACACGAACAAATACAGATGAAGACAACTAGTGTAGCAGAAGCCTCTGCTCCAGTAAGCCACAACATACACAAGAAGAAAAACAAGATCCTCAAATGCATCACAGAGAACACCAACCCAATCACACTTGATGGAGAAGCTCTAGAAGATGTGGAATCTTTCATGTATCTGGGTATCATCATTGATTAATATGGAGGATCATATGCAGACGTCAAGGCGAGGATTGGCAAAGCGAAGACAGCATTGCTACAATTGAAGAACATTTGGAACTCAAAACAACTGTCAACCAATATCAAAGTGAGAATGTTCAATACGAATGTCAGTACAGTTCTAGTGTATGGAGCTGAAACATGGAGAACTACTACAATGATCACTAAAAGTGTGCAAGTATTTATAAAGAATTATCTACTCATGATACTCAATGTTCGTTGACTGGATACCATTAGCAACAGTCTATTGTGAGAGAGGGCAAAGCAGCTTCGTGCTGAAGAGGAGATTAGGAAAAGACGATGGAAGTGGATAGGATACACATTGAGGAAATCATGAAATTACACTACGAGGCAAGCGCTAACTTGGAATCCTGAAGGGAAACGGGAAAGAGGAAGGCCAAAGAATAAACTGCATTGTGAACTGGAAGCAGATATGAACAGGATGAATAACAACTGGAAAGGATTGCCTAGGACAGGATTGGATGTAGATTTCGGATGAGTAGCCTATGCTCCTCCATGAGGCGCAAGTAAGTAAGTGATTTAGTGTACTGTGCATAAAGTTTAGATTGTTTTCCTCTTCTTTTTCTCTTTTGTATCAATTTAGACAGTGAATTCAATTTCACAATCTATTAGTCTAACTCCACTGAATAACAATACTAATAATAATAAGGATGCTGATTTATCGAAAATCACAAATAATACATATGGTCAACGTTCAAGACAGTCATCACATACACGTTCCTCTTCATCATCATCAGCGTCATCAATCTCTCGTTCTTTAACAAAAGTAAACAAACCTGGAATGATTAATCATCATAAACAGAATACTATTTCTTCTGTTACTTCAAATAAAGTCGAAACTATGATCCCTCAATTGAATAGTAATAACAATAATAATCATAATCATGATAATAATGATAAATTATGTCATCAAGAGTCTAATTCACCTGTTACTACTGGTACACGTGAAAGTATCGCTAGTGGTGGTGGTTATTTCACTGGAGATGATGATTCTGTCTCAATTGGTGGAAGTATTGAACAAGTAGTTCGTTTATCTTCACATTCAAACAATTTCATTAACGATAATAATCATCAGTATATTGATGATGTTCATAGTAGTAACATTGCTATTATCTGTAATGATAATCATAAGAATACTACTAATGAACAAAAGTCAATGGATTTCACTGTTAAACAAAATGTTCATTCATCAAATGTGATAAATATTTTAAATAAAAATAACCCAGTAACAAAAACCCAGTAAGTAACTATGTAAATGATCATAGTTTTGTTTTTATTTTGATTATATTTCATTTTCAAAAGGGGTTTTTGGTGGAGATTTTAGTCATTTCAATAGTTGAAATTATGAGTCAATTGAATTTAGACTACTATGAATAACTTGGTAGCACTGGACGGCTGTTTCGTTATAGTATGCGACTTATTGAAGATAATAGTGGATGTTGTCACAATTGACTTCATGATTTCAACTATATTTCATTACTTTAAATTGTGATATCCTTTCATTGTAAAGATAATTCAACGAGACTATAGTTGATAAACGAACCAATCAGGTATAAGATAACAGATCGTAGATTTTGGAACGAAATTCACTGATTCAATCCTATTTTATTTTATTTTATTTGAACACATAAATATTGGTACAAAAATGCGCTAAATATATATGTGTCACACAAAACAATCAGAATTTAAGGAGAAGGAAAAGATGAGAGAATAATAACGAAGAGATTGATGTAAGGTGGTGTAATCATAACAATGGTAAGAATGGGGGAACGGAAAGGTACAATCAGTAGAGATCTTTCAGTTAAGGAAGACACAACCACTTTTTCTGAAGAAAGTAAAAGAAGGTTACAACAGGATCGCCACTGGCTTCTATTCTCAGCCATATCTGATAACGTCTCTAGCCACTGTGTTGCACCATCTCTCGGACCCCAACCAGGGAGTCGTGAATGACCGACAGATGCCAGTTCTGTACAGCTTTCATACCACGACACCATGTTATATACCGACCACCTCTCCGCTTTTTCCAACCAGTCCCAGAGTCGGCAAATAATGTACGACGTGGAATTCTCTGGGACGACATTCGTAGAACATGTCCAAGCCACCGGAGTCAATGTCTCAAGATGGTGACACCAATTGGATTATCGTCTCTGCGCCTGAACACATGATGCCGAGCCTCTGCATTACTAACATGGTGTTGCCACTGGATGTCAGCAATCCTTCGGAGACAACGATGATCGAACACAGAGAGTCGCCTAACGTCCTCAACTCGGAGAGGCCAGGTTTCACAAGCATAGAGCAAAACTGCCCTCACCGACGCGTTGTAGATCCGACCTTTTACAGCCAGACTAACATCACGAAGGCGCCAAAAATGGCCCAGATTGGCATAAACCACTCTGGTTTTCATTATATATGAATTTATTCCTAACCTTAGCCATCAACTGTAAATCATAATTCGAATTTCTCACAATAATTTATAACCCTTATTTGATTCTAGTTATCAGGTCGACACTCTGAAGGTCAGTCTAGCGTCGCTCAATCATCGTCATAAATTATAGTCTTACTGATAATTCATATACCAAGTGATTGTTTTGATTTTTAATGATGAATTTAATCATCATCCAACTCAGAAAATGAAACACTCCCAAAAGCATGCAATTGAACTGAAAAATCCCTCTTCATTATTTCACATGTGTCTATATACTCAGATTTAAGCTATATAGTTTGTGTGTGGGGAGGATTAGTGATCCTGCTTGTCTTTCCAAACCAAACAGTTGTCAGTAGTTTGTTTTGGAACTTGTGATCCGAAGTCTAAAATTCTAATGTTTTGAACTATTAAATCATTGTTCTACATTCATCTAGATAACTTCAGGTTACAGGGCATCAGATCAGGCAGGTTTGTATTTTAACATTTATTCCTAACTGTATGTTGAAAAGCTGAATACTAATCATTCAGTTGAAAGATTGTCAGTTTTGGTCATTTATAACTATTCACTAAATACACAAACTGAGCTACTAAGGTTGTAATCTATAGAGATATTTAAACAAAAATCGACTGAATTATACTTAAGCGCTCATCACCTTGAATACCTCTGAACTCAGCGTCCTCTCACTGTTTAGCTGCCGACCTCGACCGTAGCTGCTACCTTGACGTGGTGGTTGGGCTTGCCTATCGTGTTGACCAAACCGAGTTATATTGGCTGGGACATATGTTCCTGTAGGTTCTACCATGCCAGGCAGGTCGATTGGAGAACGGTAAGACTAAAAGCAGCAACTCAAGATCTGGGGGCGAAGTCGTACTGCTGACTGTAGAGGGGTGTGACAGCAGTAAGATGTTTCCGTCGGACAGCCAGCATCTGCAGCGGTGCAGCCTTCTCACAAGGAAGAAAGTGGTTAGAAATGGTCGACCATAAAAATGTCACACTTCACCTTACCTGACGGATTACCGTCTCCGGCGGTAAGGCCGTTTAAAGAACAGAGCTAACACGTTTAAAACCTCCCACAAAAAGGTCGTGGTCGACCGGCTTGAAGCAGTTGTCCCTTGGGCTTTGCGGTCACGCTCCCAGGTCGTTAAGACCAACATTAATCCACTTTCGTTTTCAGGTTCCTCACAAAATACCCTTCCACGGTGTGGGCATCTGGGAAGTGATATCAGCACTCATACCCGTGACAGCACACGATACCAAGTTGGTCACATTCAAATCCTTCCTACACCTCTTAATACCTTTCTTATCTCCACGACTAACCCTTCTCATGTCTCTCTATCACGTCGCACCGCTAGTGCAAACGATTCGAGTACGCGGAACGTTATTCCTGGCCCACTGAAACTACGCTCTATGCTACATGTAGGAGCTTTTAACGTCCGAACACTGTGACTTAGATACCAACCTGCGAAATTGTTGTTATCCCGGTGGATAATTTCTACAATACAGAATTTTCGTCGTAAATCCATCTATGATCTTTTAGAAGTTGCTAGCCTATAATTTGGTCATCTTCACCCTCTCACCTAGCGAACTTAATCATTTGATGATGATTATATCAATATAGTTTGATGACTGTATTATTCTTGTCTCAAATTATGTATATTCTCTAACTCTCTTCTTCCTTTATAGATCAAATCATCAGAACCAACAAATGAAAGATTTTACCAATAAAGTAGATAGCAATCAACAAGAAAAGTTACCCGTTCCAGGAACAGCTGCTTGTGGCACCGTAATCCGAAGTGTAAAGCACACCGATGGTTCGGTAAGAGAATATTATTTATGAAAATCTATCTGTTTATCTGGATCTTCTGATTTTATTTAACTAGAAAAAATTGCTCGATGAACTATTGTATTAGTTGGATAATGTTAGAGATGTATATCAGCAGATGGTAACTAGTGGTCTAGCAGTTAAGCTCTGTCTTCAACCTTTGTCATTGTTATGCGTGTATACCACTGGTGAGTGGTCTCACAATAGAACACAACGGGTGTTCAGTACTTCTTGGTTTCCATATATACCTCAATTAAGATTAGTCCGCAAGGAATACCATCTACAAAGTATGAATAATTGTTAATGAATATTTAGTTAGGGTTAACCCTCAAGGCCACAACAAGTGATTTATATGAATACTCATGTATTTTTCCACTCTGATAATGGCGGATCATAGAGGTTACTACTAGTTTCAATTACTTTGGGACATTTTTGGATCTGTAACTGTATAATTAAACGTTATATCTGTGTACACTTATATTTGTCAGATATACTGTCGTCAATAAATCCCAATTAGCGAGAAACTTAGATCAAAAGCATTTTAATGGTCTCTAATCACTCACTAATATCAAAACATAATCCTACCATTATGGCTTGAGACACTAACCAACATCATGTGTTAAGTCGACCAATCAGAATTCTAATTTCCTCTATTCCACGTCTACCATTTCGTCCATAGCCTAGTGTCCCAGACTTAACCAGTTATGAGTTTGACCTACTCGTTAACATTGAAGCAGTATAAGCCAAACCTATATTGGTCCGCTATTATTAACCTCTTCTTTATCTCCTAACTTGAGTGCGGAAAGTCAACAGCCAGATCCCATTATTACGATATTCTAAACTTATGTACATTTATATGCAAACATACTGGAATGCATCATATCATAAAATGAAAAATCACAATTACACATAAACGAGCCAAAGTAAGTGGCTATGAATAAGTTAGTCAAGCTGTAGAAAATCTATTCACAATGAACTAGGAATAATTAATAGTATAGTATTCGGTAAGAGGTTAAACAGAAAGTTAAGATAAACATAATGTGTACACATAGTAACCCAAATACTTAGGTTACATATAACAAAAATACAAATGATAAATCTTCCGACTAAATGTTTGAATCTTGTTCCTAAGCTTTTAACCCCATGTTAAATATATGTACGACAACTTGAACACGAGAAAAAAAGGATGTGAAATCTGAATAAAACGCTTTACTTCAAGGTTAAGTTTATGTACAGAAAATTGAGGGTATTTATGGTATTTCAGATGGTATTGGGCTTCTAGAACCCTACTAAACATAGTAGCAGGATAGGTAATTATCTAATCAGAAATGTGACATGACTTTTCACTTTCTAGATGTTTTTGGGATACGTCTGTTGAATACTGTTTTCAGGATCCCTCTGAGCTTTTTTCAAAGAATACTCTGGATCTTCCCAACAATAAAAATAATAATAATAACAATTCGAGATCAATACTAACTTTAACAATATTCATCCCGTTATAATATCCAACATGATATCGAATCACTTAATCTAGTGGGATCATCAATGGGATTGATGTTTATCCTGATAATTTTCTTTTTTTCTTGTCAATTCATAGATTGAACAAACTTATTCAAATGGCGCTGTTGTTGTATCTTATGCTAATGGTTCAGTGAAAGAAATTTTTCCTGACACTGTAACTATAGTTGTATCTTTATTCAATGGTGATATTAAACGAACTTTACCAGATGGTCGTGTAGTAAGTGTGTGCTTTGTTTTACTTCATTCATTTGTCAAATACTGTATGTGTCGACAATGTTGATCTCTTTATCCGTTTGTTTTCTTCGTTCCTTACGTCAATCAATCCTATAACATACACTTTCAGTATGCTTTATTATAATCTTTGAATATCGAGCTTAAATGAACAATTATCAGACTTCTTTGATTAAAATTTCTCTTTAACGTTTCATCATTCGTTGACTTATTGGACGATGACATAGTTAGTAGCAACTTCAAATTGGTTTTTTTTTGTTTCCAATAAGTTTATGTTAGTTTTCCCTGATTAACTATATACTAACTTATGGTAGTCAGTCAGTTAATCAGTAACAACGTAGAACTTCGTACGTACATGCGTACATCAGTCCGAGTTGCCATACCACATTAACACAAAGAGGCAGTTGTCGATTCGAATCCCGTAGTGGTATAGGTGGTAAAAGTATAAGCAGTAGTCGGAAAGATTGGGGTTTGAAGATGTTATTCAAGGAGTATAATACAGCGAAATAAATTTGGAAAGAGAAAAAAGAAAGGGATGTGAGGAATTTAGAAGACTAGAATTTGGGAGAACACAAAGAGTGGATGCACCTGCGCCATTGCAAACGATTTTGAGCCATGTCATTCAGGGTCTCTAACCATCGGTTGCTATCATCTCGCGGATCCCAACCAGGTAGTCTACACCTACCAACATGGCTCAGTTCACGTGTCAGTGACTTCATGGATTTGTGTCATGTTTTGGTCTAGCCGCCCCTAACTTTCTTCCAACCTACTCCTATACCATAAAACATCACACGTCGGGGCATTCGGTGGTTGGGCATACGTAACACGTGTCCCAGCCATCTCAACTGATGAAGTTTTACTACTTTATCAATTGATTTGCCATCCTTACCTAGTACCCGTGTCCTAACAACTGCATTACTTACCCGATGGTCCCAGGATATACGAGCAATGCTTTGAAGACACCTATGATCGAATACTAGTAACCTACAAACATCTTCTACTCTTACTAGCCATGTTCCACTCGTATGAAGTAGGACGGAACGAACTACTACGTAGTAAACACGTCGTTTGGTTGATAGACCGGTATCTCGCCTACGCCATAAATGACGCAAGTTGGCAAAAGCTAGTCTAGCCTTCTGTGTTCGTGCTGAGATTTTGTCACACACTAGACCACAAGGGCTGATGAGACTCTCAAGATAAGTGAAGCGATCGACACACTCATCTACTTCACTCCCTATCATTAGTTCGGGTGTCGATGCAACCCAATCCTGAAGTAATATTTTGTATTTCGAGGGGGAGAATCGCATCTCGAACACGCTAGCTTTGTTGCTTAGAGTGGTCAAAAGACTGCAATTTGTCAGCGTCTTCACCAAATAAAACTATGTCATCAGCATATTCCAAGTCAATAAGTGAATTTCCTGGTAGAAGTTCAACTCCTGGAAATTTAGATGAGGAAATTGTTATCTCTAAAAGCGCACCAACGACAAAGTTAAACAAGAATGGAGAGAGTGGACAGCCCTGATGAACACCACTTGAGGTAATCAATTCTGATGACAGCTCGCCATAAGCTCTGACTCGACCAGTTGTGTTCGAGTAGAGAGCCTTTATAAGGTTAGCGTACTTCTTTGGTACTCTTTTCGGTGACAAACACTGCCATAGAACCTCACGATCAACAGATTCGAATGCTGCCTTAAGGTCGAGAAATACCATGATTGTGGGGCATCTGAATGTGTATCTATGTTCTAGAACCTGACGTAGTGTGAATATGTGGTCTATACAACAACGTCCAGGTCGAAAACCAGCCTGATTTTCTCTAATCTGTTCTTCACGAGCTTTGGTTAGGCGTCGAAGCATTATTGAAGCTAATATTTTAGACACTATATTAGTTAAATTGATTCCTCAATGATTTTCACGAGGGAACATTTGTCTCTTCTCATAGACTGGTGTAATCAGTGATTGAGACCAGTCAAATGGGATTACGTCCAGTTTCCAGATTCTACTTAAGACCTCAATCAATCTCACTGCTAAAACTGGACCGCTATTTTTAAAAATCTCTGGGGTAAACCTGTCAGCGCATGCTGCCCTCTCACGCTTCAGATTTCCTATAGGTTTTTCAACTTCGTAAAGAGTTGGAGGACTTACATGAACTTACCATGTAGGTCGACTGGAGATCGTGGGAAACCGAAGTGTGGCTGAAGGTCAGTTGAACTGATCCCTAAAGTGTTCTGCCCATCGATCCAATCTCCTGGATTGAGAATGTATAATATGTCCATCTTTTTCTGAGACAGTTTTGCTAACAGTCGGGTTCCTTAATAAGTCTGAACAGTTGTCTGCTATTACGTATTACCGCTGCCTTTTCAATCTCTCTTGCTTTCGCTACCCATCACTGTTCGCGATCATTGCATAGGCTTCTCGTCAGCTTGCGCTTAAGCTGACTCCGCTCTTCGTTATGTTCAGAGCCAGATGGAATGATTTTTCTAGCATCCATCAGTTAGGTAGATGCTGCTGAAATCCATTGTTTCTCCTTAACCACGAGCTACCACCGTCCACTACTTCCAGGTTTTCAATGGTGGTCTAGCTTAGATCAACTCATGAATTCAACTGTAGAAATCTCATAATCACAGACAATCCTAATTTAACTAGAGTACGAACATAGTGATACAGATAACAAAACTTCTAATGACAATCAATCACACGCATCCATCGTCATGTGATAAAGAAGATTTAACAATTACGTTTAAAAAGGAGAACACTAGAAACCCCAATATTAATACAAGTTGGCGTTGATGATGTCGTTGTTGAGAATCATGGATTTAAAAAAAATCCTCATTTAATATTCCTGTAAATAACTTTCAATTGATATTGTTTATCATGTAGTTCTTTCTCAGTATGAATTGAGGTTAGTTCATGAAAGCCATTAATAACTAGAAAGCATCCAAGAATTCCATTTCACATTCATCCAAATACATTGTGCTATTCAGGACAACACTAAACACTACACAATACACACAGACACACGCATATTCACATGTACTATCAACATCGAATCAGATCAGTCGGTCAGAAAACCTGATGGAAACCATCTCCCCCTCACTCACTCATCACTCACCAAATCGAATTCAAAACTCTTTGGTCATGTTCATCCACAACCCTTTGAAAGAGATTTTACCTAGGACTGATAATGACAGGATAAAAAGATGTCACTAAGGTCAATATTTTTTGTATTAATGCAATTTTGGGATTTCTTTGGCGACGTTTTTTTGACGAGCTAAATAATCTTCATTGCTCTAGTCTTTCGTGTTTTTACTTAGCGTCTTGGGAATTGGAGTGGTTCCTAATTATCAACTATGAACAGTGAGGCCCCAAACCCAACAGAGTAAACACATATGTTGACGGGGACAACGACTCATACATAGATGACGCCTCCTGGATTTAACAAGGACTCTTATATTTTCATATGCCTTTATAAACGATTTACCAAATAATGATGTTGTTATTATCGACCAGTTTCGAGAAGAATTCTTCAAGTTTTAGGGGAAACGATCCGTATGAGTGTGAAATAGATATAATGAACAAAATTGATTGTCCTATGAGCCATCCAAAACTCCTTGGGAAAACTCTTCAGAAACGCAGAATGTCCTGAAAATACTTAGATGATTAATTTACAAAAAAAGGAATTAGATTTTCACTATTCTATATTTAACTGAACATTTTAGTACCTCAAAGTCACACTTCTCTTACAAACATCTATTTGTTGTGTGTATACGATAACCTTTGTTATAAAGCTTCTTCCGTACTTCCTGCCATCTGTTTTCTACTCGATGTCCCTGATTAAAAGTTGTATATGGAATAAGGAGAGGGGATCTAAGCGTTCAGGTATAATACCTATTATAATGATCTTTTCGCTACATTGTTAGCTAATTGAATATGAAAATACATATGTTTCCACTCCAACTCAAGGGTTGATGAAGATCATGAACACCAGGAGACGTAAAAATCCTAGGTTTCGTTCAGTAAGGCAGTACTTAATATTGATAATTTGGTCTTTTCTTTTCGATAGTTTTCCGCTGGATGTCATATCTTGATGGCAACTGATTTAACTTCTCCTATAATAATCTTTCAGCTTAAAAATTAACATCGCATTTTTGGTTGAATATTGTGATTCGATTCAAACTACTATCTGTTTAATAAGTAGTATGTTATTAGCGGTAATATATACTGACTAGGATTGTGTCACTGATTATGTTCGACGTCTAATTACTAGGTCAGAAAGTTAAAATCCCGTCTTTACTTCTATGAACAACTGTGTAGGATAGCCCTTTTCTAATTAAATTTTAGTTTAAAGTTGAGTTCATAAATCTAAAGGTAGTTGAAATGAGTTTTATCTCTTTTTCCCTTTTCTATTCTAATTTTATGTACATAGATATATCACTATGCGGCTGATGGAACAGTTCAGATAACTTATCCTAATGGAACTGAAGAGATTAAGTATTCTGAGTAAGTCAATTTTGTTCCTCTCTACACGTGTTTTCCCATCTGAAGAGAGTACAACTGGGTTTCTGTGAAGCAAATATCATCATTATATATCATCGTTAAGGTTCGATTCCTTTGGTATTCATCTTGCTAATAAGATGTGGCAACTTGTACCAATATACATTTGTCTCAATCTCTTTGTTGATTATGAATGACTGATAACCTTACGGAAATGTGGATCTGGACGGTGTTATCATACTTCACTTGATAAGCACTATTTTTTGCAAGTCTATACTAAGTTGTTGTGAATTAGCTATCCATTCAAATTCTTTTCATAGTATTATCATATTCGATAATTGTTGGCTTTCAGCTTTTTGTTAGTGAAATGAAAGTGACTAATCTCGAAAGGAAACAGAATTCTTAGTTTAATTAGCAATTGTCGAAAACATCTCTTTTTACCTAATAGTTGTGACCTGCCTATAAAGTAACTGACCAACTACAACTTAGTATATTCAGCTTTGTAAGCATCGGGCAATATAACACAAGTTCAAATACAGAGGCACAGATGTATTCATTTTTATCTCCCTACAGATCTTCAGTTCCAGAATTATTTCTAATGTAATTTCTCACCCGATCTTATGAATCGTGTTCTCAATCTTTAGTCTTGATCTATCTACGCAATAATATATAGGAGAGGACTTGTATAGATCTGTATTAAAGCCTTAACATTATAGGCTAGTTGGTTTTATCTCAAGGCTAGAAATACGTGAGTCTGAATAGAGACTAACTGCTTTGGGTAGAAAGACGAAAACTATTCTATCACCTGATTAGTTGATAACCGAGAGAAGACAAGTCAACTGGTACACTACTTGATTTATTCCTGATTTCCGATTACTGTAAAAGGATACATGAACAAATAGATGACTAACATTGCCCATAACGCACAAACAATTAAATAAATACAATTATCACAGATTGAAATCATGAGTCAGTTGAAGCTAGACCACCATTGGAAACCTGGAAGCACTGGACGGCCGTTTCGTCCTAGCATGGGACTCCTCAGCAGTACGCACCCACGATCCCGCACCCCGCGGGATCCGAACCCAGGACCTACTGGCTTCGCGCGCGATCACCGAGCCCGCACTCAACGGTGTTAATGTCTAACTTCAACCAATCCACGAAGTTGCGCCACCATATACCATTGTCTTCAGTGAGCTGATATCTCACAACAGACCTGGTTGTAATCCACTGGTAACGGCTTCCCTCCCACAACCCCCTTCTGATAAAATACAATTATGTCCAAACTAAGCATTTGGGTAGAAAATTAGAGTACAAAGGGTTATGTTTAAATTACAATATCAGAAAGGGTTTTGTGGAGACTTTAGTAATTTCAATAGTTGAAATCACGAGTCAATTGAGGCTTAACCATTAGACCACTGAGCCGGCATCCAACGGATGTTAACATTTACCGGCCATCCAGTGCTTTCAGGTTTTCCATAGTGGTCTAGTTTCAATTGACTCATGATTTCAACTAATAAATTACAATAGCTTTTGATCAGAAAAGGGTATGGCAGTGGATTATACATCAAATGAAAGCTTATTATAAGATAACAAGGGATAGAACTAAATGTTGGTGTTTTACTAACTTTAAATTAAGTGAAATAACGTCCCCCCAAATAGTTTCTGTTATTTGTCATGACTTCTTTATTTCACTGTTCACTTAGTCTTTCTCGCTATCATAACCACGACAACTATTCAGCTACTCTGATATTCTTCTCTCTTTCTGTTAATTTGATATGGTAGCCTTGAATAACACATATTTTTGTGTCAGGCCCTTCGTCAACTTATGACTAACTGACTCAGCTAATAAATCTTCGATAATTAACTATACAAAGTTAGATGAATTAAAGTTCAAACTCTGATTTTTCAGTATCTAAGTAACCAGTGCGTTAATTGACGGTTAAGTAGTGTGATTTCTTCAAATAAAAAACAAAATCATCTTTTTGTTTTGTTTTAGTGGACGTCAAGAAATTAGTTATTCTTGTCAACAAATAAATCCAGATCAAGTTTTACTACCAACGACAACAGTCAATTCATTGAAATCCTTGACAAATGAACAAATATGTCGTCAATTTAACAACAATAATGGTGTTAAAGAAATTTTATTACCTAATGGTCAACGTGAAATTCATTCTAGTTCAGGGATTAAAGTTAGTTAGGTTTTATCAATCACTAATGCTTGTTATTTTGTAATTAATTTGTTTTGCTATCAACCAGTTCAATCAGTTGGAAGATTTGTACTTCGCAGATGACCTGGTTGTTCTATCCCATACACATCAACAAGTGTAGGTCAAGACAACTAGTGTATCAGAAGCCTCTGCTCCAGTAAGCCACAACATACACAAGAAGAAAAACAAGATCCTCAAATGCACCACAGAGAACACCAACCCAATCACACTTGAAGGAGAAGCTCTGGAAGATGTGGAATCTTTCATGTATCTGGGTATCATCATTGATTAATATGGAGGATCATATGCAGACGTCAAGGCGAGGATTGGCAAAGCGATGACAGCATTGCTACAATTGAAGAACATTTGGAACTCAAAACAACTGTCAACCAATATCAAAGTGAGAATGTTCAATACGAATGTCAGGACAGTTCTAGTGTATGGAGCTGAAACATGGAGAACTACTATAATGATCACTAAAAGTGTACAAGTATTTATAAAGAATTGTGTACTCACGATACTCAATGTTCGTTGACTGGATACCATTAGCAACAGTCTATTGTGAGAGAGGGCAAACCAGGTTCGAGCTGAAGAGATTAGGAAAAGACGATGGAAGTGGATAGGATACACATTGAGGAAATCACGAAATTACTCCACTGAGGCAAGCGCTAACTTGGAATCCTGAAGCGAAAGGGAAAAGAGGAAGGCCGAAGAATAAACTGCATTGAGAACTGGAAGCAGATATGAACAGGATGAATAACAACTGGAAAGGATTGCCTAGGACAGGATTGGATGTATATTTCGGATGAGTGGCCTATGCTCCTCCATGAGGAGTAACAGGCGTAAGTAAGTACTAGGCAGGTTCAATGACAATTAATTATAGTTGGGTTTCTTATGTATGCACGCTGTTAATTAGATGTCCCGCGTTAGAAAGAAGCACTTGTTTAATGCTTTGTAGTTTAGTTTGATCTATAGTTTCCTCCATGCACTGGTATTTGTTATGACATTTAAATGGATCAATTTTCTTTTACATAGGAATGCTTTGAAAACTTATTGTCATTTAGTTATACGCAACATAGAACCTAGCAGATGTGTACATAGACCAAAGTTCCCATACTCCACTAACGTAGTGCGATGAATCTCAGAGTAATATAGTCAGTACCAGTATTATTGTTAATAAAAAATATTAGAAGTCGAAGATACGATTTAAGAATATAAATCCGTGAACTTAAAAATACATTTTTATAAGGAATGTAGAAACTTTAGATATAATGTGGTAGAAATAATGAAGCGAACCGCATCATCGTGAACGATTTTGAGGTAAGTCATCCAAAGGAAACGTGTTATAGCTGCTTCACTTCATATATTCAAGAGAACCATTATTAATATTTTCTCATTCAGTATAGGTTATAACTATGTACATACTACAAAACGACAATTAGGTAAAGTATAAGCAAATTTATTAGAAAACAATAGTTTTAGATAACTTGAATGGGATATATTTAATCCTTAGTTGGGAATGTTGAATAGATGCTTAATATTATTTTCAACAAAATTGATTCATTCAGTCAGTAACAACGTAGAACTTCGTATGTACGTGCGTACATCAGTTCCAGTTGTCATACCACATTAGCACAAACATGCAGTTGTCGATTCAAATCCCATAGTAGTAGAGGTAGTAAAAGTATAATCAGTAATCCGAAAGATTAGGGTTTGAAGATCTTATTCAAGGAGTATAATCCAGCGAAATAAATTCGGAAAGAGGAAAAAGAAAGAGGTATGAAGAATTCATAAGTTTAAGATAGTGAATCCTTCGATAGCTGTATAAATTTTTAATATTTGAGATATTTGTACATGTTGATGCGTTATATAACTCTTTTTTTAATTAAAATAAACATCATATTGTATTCACTTGGTATTGTTTGGCTTGTATATTCCCATTGAGGTTTAAGACTTCAATTGATCAGTCTGTTATTGGCATATGTACATACTGTGCGTATGCCTCGATATTACCTTAATTCACAAGCCATTTGTAAGCAATGATGGATAGTGGCTAGCAGTGGAATCCACTTTGACGCGCGTTTCGTCCTATTTGGGACTCGTCAGCTGGATGTACCTGCATCTCAGAGTTGATGTTCACTCTGGGATGGCTTTTGAAGCGAATGGTACTGGGTTCGAGTCCCAGAGTAAACATCAACCCTCTGAGATGCAGGTATATCCAGCTGACGAGTCCCAAATAGGACGAAACGCGCGTCCTGGATTCCACTGCTAGCGACTATCCATCATTGCTTACAAACATCATATTGGTTGCAGCAGAAACCAGTTATAATAAAAATGTACTTTATAAAGTTGTTTATTATTCTTGTTATTTCTAAGTCACCTAAATGTTATTCTTTTTATTGGGAGGGAGGGAAGGGGGTATTTTTAACATTCATAATCATAATTATTACTTAACAGATGAACGAAATAAAAATCTACCTTTTAAACAGTAAGTATGTTGTACGCTGTATTTCTATTCATTTTTGAAAGTTGAGTATACAGAAGATTTGAAAGTATTCAACTGTAGGTATCTTCGAAAAATAGAAAAAACAGTTAATAATGCTGAGACTATAGTTTATTCAACCAATAAGGTTATAAATTGTCCGCAAACTAGATCGTTTGGGCATATAGTACGCATGTCCATCCATCTCCATCCCATTTCTAACACAATTATGCCTAATATCCAGGTACGTTTAAATACAGTTAGACATTTCATCTACCATAAACTGTCTTCAGGATTTGAAGACATCTTGGTTGACATCAATAGTTGTAGACCTTAGATGATGTAGTTCGAAATTGGTCACTGTAGTGCAGTCGCATTCATTCTTTATTTCCTTTCAAGTCTCCTTTTTCTGTGAAGTATGAACTATGACAACTGAAACTGTTGTTGTCGTTCATATTCTTTGGTTGACTGTTCTGTTAGTCACATACATCATTGAAACACGCAAATATATGTGTTCAACGAACTTTTTTTCAAAGTTTCAGTCAGTCAGCTACAACGTAAGACCAGGCACATATATGCATCGGTCCAAGTTGCCATACTTCATTAACACAACAAGATGAACACCAAATTCATAGAAGTAGTTAATTCGGTGGCATTAATATTTAAAAGAAAGATTGCATATAAGGAAAGATATGAAGTGATTTTAATCTCTTAGTTTAAGGGAAGACAGGGAGTGTATACACCGACGCCATTGTGATCGATTCTGAGCCATGTCACCCCAGAGTCTCTAATCATTGGTTACGATAGTCACGCGGACCGCAACCAAGTAATCTGCATCTACCAAGTTTATTTAAATTTAGTAAAATAAGAATGATTTGATACATGAGAAAATAAAGTCTTCTATAAACCTTGTTATAAATGAATTAATTCATCTAAACTTTTACACTTTTTCTAAACTTTTAATTCTCAGTGTCGTGTTTATCCAGATGGTACTACAAAGACTATATTTCCCGATGGTCGTCATGAAACTCGTTACAGTTCTGGACGTTTACGTATTAAAGATGCTAATGGAAATTTATTATTGGATACTAGATTACCTATACTAAATAACATTGGTACTAATCATAATAATGATTATTTAAATGGTAGATCTGCACAGATTTCCATTACTAATCAATCAAATGGTAATAATCCAATTATGAAATCTAATTCATAAATAAATCTATAAACGCGTAAATAGTGAAAAAATAATAACCGTGCAAAATATCTTTGTTTTACAGAAGAAGCGTTTACCTGAAAGAAATTGGCTGTGATTTGTCTCCGTTATTTATTTACTTTGTCACCCCTCCACATTTATAGCCCCAAGACCGTGTTTTACTTCCCACCTGGTCCTGCCAGATCCCTAAGCACTTGTTCACATGTATTGATATATATATAGTTGCCCTAATCAACACTGACCTGTCTGTATATCGATCTACTGTTGCAAATTGAAAACTACCAATCACAATTACTTAATATTGTTTTTTAGCATTTCTATTGGTTCCCCTACACATTTTCATATGTGTCTTGTCTGTCTATCTATCACTTTTTGCGGTTATTTTATCCAATCATAATTCAGTAAATAGATTCTATTTAGCTTCATATTTATTCTTCTTGTTGTTGTGTATATCCCATTCAAGAAATGGGGGGGGGGAAGGATATTAAAACAAAATATTTAAATAACTTTTCTTTTTATTTCTTCCGTGAAACTGTAGAGTTTTGTTTTGTATTGTTTTCTTTTTTTTTCATGTTTGAATCTTTTTTTTTAAACCCATCTGATTTAGATTGATTATTGCTTGGTTACTACTATGTGGTAATCGATCATTATGATTATATTAAAATGACTGGTGTCAATCAATTGTTTCTCTCTCTCTCTCTCTCTTATAACATAATTATCACTATGAAGAACACACTATTCAGAAAGAGAAAGAGAGGGAGAGAGAGAGTTTTTCCTGTTTAGTTTTCACTTCAAATTGATTTCTTTAGTTTCTTAATGCACAAATAAACTCAGTTGATTATCTTGTACTAGTTAATATTCATTGTTTTATTTGATATTCTAAAATGTGGTTTAATGGTGAAAGTATACAGTGCTAGCGCAGCCTTGAGTGAACCGATCAGAATGAAGAGATCATTTCTTTAGATTGTCAACAAAATTCACTATGTACATATCTTATTACTAGGTGAATAAACATTGTTAATACATAGAATTAATCAAAATACACCTTTCATCCAATTACATAGTGACTATGGTTTTGTGGCTAATTATATCGGACGATGATATTTTCAATGGGATCATCACTTTACTGGAGTTAAATCTGACTTCAATTTGATCGTATGGTTATGTATCGATTGAGCTGGCTTTGTTGTGTTTGTTCGTTGAAAGAATGGAGTGCTGCGTTAGTTTTATCGTCGGCGGGCTCACAATTTTAGTGGCCCGTTATCTGATTCTAGTAATATCATACGATTGATTGTTATTGAAATATACATGTCGCCAATCCTCGTATATAATCATCGACTTAAGTCGCGTTAGTGGATAACGAAATTAAATAAATCCAATTTGAGAATGAATTTTGAATACGTATATTTTGTACAATGGTTGACCAGAAGGCGAAACATAACAAAATGATGCACAATGGAAAAGGCTAGTGAGCCAACCCAATTTAACCAAACGTGAATCGATATTTATAGTCACACAAAAATAAGTTACAAACGTTTGATGAGTAAGATAAGAAATACACACACGCATAAATCAAATCATTCAAGGTTAATAAGCGAATAATTAACAAGGTCAAAATATGCTTAAGATGAGTGAATAGATTGATCTATCTATAGGCTTGAATAAGCTATGCCCTGGTACAGCCTAAGGAAGGGAGAGTCCGCTCTCCCTCTCCAAATGCTCTCACATGGCTACGTGCATACAACCACTGTCAGGGAAGTCCTACTTCCTTCTCGCTACATTTCTGTTGTTTACGAAATCGGGAGGACGAAAAGCGAATGTCCGGCGCTTTAACTGGGTTGGTAGGTATAAAGGATCCACCTAGGGGAGTTGTAAAATTCTGATTCCAAACCAGTGGTGTACATGGGTTTTAGGGTCCTGATGGAACCTATTGTTGGTCACCAGCTACCATAGGACTGCATTCTCTCATACTGCTTCACTTCCATGTGAATCAGACTTTTAGGTCGAAAGCCCCGGTTTTGGCCCCTTAAGGAAAACACTTGCTTTGGTCTGGGCACTTGGGCAGTATCCCATCCCTCACATAAATTAGTGATAACTGCTACTGTCCTCATTATTATTGTGTGGCGCATATGTATTCGGTGCCTCTTTGTACCAATATTTATGTATTCAAATAAACTAATAAATTGACTCCAACTCTTGGCTCTTAATCTCAATCCTAGCTTTTATAAGTTTATCAACGAAAGAGTGGTAAAGCATAATCTTATAATAGCTGATGTCAGTTCGTGATGAAAGCTTTACTTCAACTCCTATTTGCTAAGTTTGAAGGGGTTACGAGTTTACTTAGACTGCGAACAGACACAAAGACTTGGTGACCAAAAACCAACAAGCTAGCTATTCGATGCGACCCAACCCCACTAACTAGAGGAAGAAGTCCAAACTTGGGATGGAGAAGTCTATTCCGCAAACAGCCAGAAATGAGCGATAACATCAAACACAAATCGAAACGTATATTTACAGCACAAAACCGTCCTTGATGAGAGTTACAAAATAGCATACTAAAAGGCACAACGGACCAATAGCATTTAATATTCTCTCAAGTGGGAAATACAACATGAAGGTGAAAAGAGCGCCTTTGGCGTGAAAACAAAGAAATCCAAATTTTATAAATAAAATTACAAAATTAGGTGCTTTCCCAAGTAAGTTCTGGGGATCTAACGTCCCCAACACTGTTACTTAGACTTAACATTTCTATGTTTATTATGATAAATAATGGAATATGTAAAAGTTGAATAATCATATGAAATCTATACTTAGTTAACTCTCTTTGGTTGTAACCCAGTAGTAAATGGTTGCGGTATTCATATTATGTGCATTACTGTCCAGCCTTTTAATAACTAGTGTCAGATTAATCCATTTTAAGATGTAAATGGAACTTCAAGTGTTTAATATTAAAAAATTTTTCTGATGTGTAAATGAATATGTTGGGGTATATCCAGAAAACTTGAAAAAAGCCAAAAAGAAGGCTCTGAGAAACATCTTATCCAATCAGCATTCAATAGACTTTTTGCCAGAAATATCTAGATAATGGAAAGTCACATATCGGGTTTCTGATTGAATCATTACTTATACTGCTACTATGTTTAGTAGCATTCCAGAACTTACCGGAAACCCAAAGCCATCTAAAGTACTATAAATACCTTAGATTTTCTGTATATAAACGAACCTTTGAGGAAAGCATTTCTCTTGTGTTCAAGTCGCTGTGTAGATTTAGCTCTGTGTGTATGGAGGGGAGGGGTAGATAACTAGAAGACCTTAGGAATCGAATCTAGCGTTCAATTAGAAGATTTATCAGAATGATTTTTTTTACAAAAAGAAATTAAATTACCATATAAATATTGACAATTGTAACCAAGAAGTGTTTACATATTACAGTAAACTATTTGTTTGTTTCTACAGTAGCTTATAATTATTCATATGATTGGATAATTGAAGAGATCCAATTATTGACAAATGTAAGATTGCTATAAATTCCTGGAGTTCCTGCCGCTTGAAAAAATAAAAATAAGATAAAATCACTATACATTAATATAATTTACATTGAATTATACGATAATGATAGTTAGGAGTATAATTAATAATGGGGTATATGCTACTTATGTTGACAGATATGAGTAGTATTTAACAACAATTGGGAGTGAAATGCCTGTCAGCAGAAGATTGAAGTGAATAAGAGAAAAAGACAACGATTGTGATAACAACAGAATTGAAAGAATCATGATGTGTATAAAGGACAATTGAAGGGAGATGTGCAAATGATATATTTAGTGTATGGTTTTCACATATTAAGAAGATACACTGTAATTTTGCATTTCAATAGTTGAAATTCTGAGTCATTTGAAACTAGACCACCATGGAAAACTTGGAAACACTAGACGGCCGTTTCGTCCTAGTGTGGGACTCCTCAGAAGTGCGCATCCATGATCTCGCCCCCCACGGAATTCGAACCCAGGACCTGTCAGTCTCGCGCGCGAGCCGGCATCCAACAGTGTTAATGTTTAACTTCAACCGATCCACGCCATCGTCCACTATTGTCATTAATGAACTACTATCTCACAACAGACCCGGTTGAACTCTACTAGACGAAACGGCCATTCAGTGCTTTTAGGTTTTCCATGGTGGTCTTGCTTCAAATGACTCATGAATTCAACTATCAAATTAAATATCTTTGAAGTAGGATGCATCGGTTACACGGATGCTTGTCGTAAATGATATGGCACTGTAAGATTACTCGGTTTATTTCCTCGAAGACTGTTTGAAATGGAATAAAATTAAAGAATCTTACGGTAATTACTATTTATTCCATTGACCTAATAAAACCAATTATTTACATGAGTAAGTTCGTAAATAGTACAGTAAATCTCGATCATTGTAACGGGGAAATGTTTTTCGATCTTTATTATTCAACGCCTAGACAAAATATAAACAGTAAGAATAGATGAAATGTAGCTAGGAATGGGATCCTACTTAGGATTCATCAGCTTGATTCGCCTCCGTCTAAAGCCACCTCGTTTGAAACGAGTAGTACTGGTCTCGACTGTCGAATCGGAAATCATCTCTAAGATCTAGGTTCATCCAGATGACAAGTCCAGAAGGGGACGAAACCGACGTTCTACATTCCACTCATAGACCCACCCTATCTTTTTCATATAAACTTGTGTCATAATAGCTATATCAAGCTAATCCGAACAGGATCGAAATATGTCAACTAAGATTAAAATATAAAAAAATGGGTTAATACAGACTATGAAACTTCAATGTATTACTTTCCTCCTGCAATAAAACTTTCAAATTGACAAAGTATATGACATTTACATTAACTTTTTACTTTGGAGATTCTAACTTTAAGACAGTTCATAACCGTGTAACATCTCTTACTGTGAAAGTGGGTGATACGGGATCGAATCTGTCAGGGATCACCAGTTCCCTCAAGATTACAGGTAGGCCTTGCTGACGAGTGCCAAGTAGCACGAAACTTAGGTAGTGGGTTTCCTGTTGACTACCTCTAACCACCATCTTAACATAACACATCCACCAAACGACAAGATTGTTGGTGCTAGCTCCTTATTTTAAATTCAATTCGTAATGTAAACTATTATCAGATAACTAGTTACTAAGTGAATAATTTATCAAGTTCATTCTTATTACACATAGTTAACATAATACATTGGTGATTGTCAACTTACCAGCACATGATTTCCCAAATGATACAATTCCTATTTGATACCATACATGATCAGTTGTATTATGTAATTGACACATTAATGGACTACCACTATCACCTTGACATGAGTCTTTACCACCTCTAATATATCCAGCACAAATCATTGTCTCAGTTAATTTCCCTTGATATGCTCCCGTTTGATTACATACCGTTAGATTAAGCAATGGAATATAAAGATGACGTAATTCATTTGATATTGGTGAATCTATTTGTATACAAATAAGGAAGATTAGTTTCCAATAAATTAAGTTAATATAACTAAACAAATCGATCATAAATATGACTAGAGAATGAATCCTTTAGGAGACTGATATCTAATTGTTATTATACTAAATTTTTTAATAGTCAGTCTATAGATCCTATATTGCTATGTAGAGCTGAAGGTTTCATATAAAACTGGAGGTTCATCATTGGTATTGTGGATGGTTCGGCATTACTTTGGCAAGTTTTGCTAACTGTTCATGCTCAAAATTGGTTTGCTGGTTAATTGATTTCATTCATACTGGTGGTTGCTTTTCAGTGTTCTTAAGGACCATTGTGAGGCATGTCGACATTGCTAACATCAATGAGTTT